GTTATGGCCAAACTGATGATGAGCAGCAGGAAGCGGGCCATGCCATCGTCACCGCGGAAGCAGCATATCATGGCCATCGCAAACACCAGTATCAATACCGAGAACTTGGTCATGGTCACCGCCGTTGAGTGGATCTTGCCGCCCTTGCGGGATATCATATTGGAGGGTCCGTACGCAAAGTACAAGTTGTGACGATCCACGAAGTGCTTGAGGCAGATGTAGACCATGGCAAAGGGCATGATGAGCGGACAAAAGATGCTGTACACAATCGCAATGGTGAAGACGAGCGTGGTCCATGCGTAGTGGGTCCCAAAGGGGAACTCGATCAATATGGATTTGCGGATGTGGGGCGTCTCCGCCTTGGAGTTGGCCTTCAGCAGAGACCAAATGTAGACAATCAATTCGGGGAATCGCAACAGCTCCAAGGCAGTACCAATAAACGCAGCAGTGATGATGTAGTTGACGTAAAAGGAGCCACGATCCGGCAGGAAGATGCACTGCCAGCGTCCGGTTTCGTTGGTGAAGCCCCACTCCAGCAGGGCCTGGGCCGAGGTCAGTCCCAGCGATGGCAATATCAGAATCATCAGCAACAGGTAGCTGAAGCACTTGGTCATGATTGAGTAGTTCTGCTTCGAGCGTGTGTAGTGGCCCATCCACTTGTCTGAAATTGCCACAATCACCGGCATCAGCGCGGAGAGCGTCCACAGCATCAGGGTGGGCAGGAACTCGGACACCAAGGGTGAGATCTTGCCCTCCGTATCCTTCAGCCAGGGTCGACTATTCAGCAGATTGACTACCATCACCGGCGTTGTCAGGAAGAACAGGAACAGGAAGAGCACAAAGTTGACGCAAAAGAATTTCAAATACCAATGGCTCTTGTTCACATTGAGGTTCTCCCAAAAGAGGTCGTCGGGCGACGGGGCAAACATCATTTCCCACTGGCGGTAGGTGCCGGGCGTGAAGTGCGTGACAATGTTCTGCGCCTCCTGCACCGTTGACACGGTGAGAAAGGCAATGTCCAGCGGCTCGTTCATTGTGGAGGCACGCAAACGGGCCACATCCCCCGATAATTTACGCTCCTCTCGCTGATAATATTCGTACGCATTCTCCTTTTTGCACGAGCATATGTCCGGCTTGGCCTGCCAAGAGAGATATGATTGCAGTTAAAGAACTTTCACTGTATAAATCCACTTACCATTAACGTGTCCCGATTCCGATGGTGTTCACAGTACACACGAGCATCGTGTATCCTCTCGTACTCGGCGTTGCGCACATAAAGACGAGAAATGTTGTACGCAATGCTGACACTCTCGATGGTCACGTCTGGGAAGAGCTCCTGCATGTAGTTGCGCACAACGGTCTTGTTCCGATCGCTGGACGAGATGTTCGATATCATGATTGTCCGTGTGGCAGCCTTTTTGAATGCATTGCGGCCAGAGGCGCGCCGCATGATTAGCACCACCAGCGGAATGTACAAAATTGTAATGATTGTGTGCACCCAGAGCCAAGGAGAATCTGGCGACAGGTTGGCCATCGTTGTCCGGCCAAAGGCATTCACATCGTACGGCGTATCCTTCGGCCCGTTCAGGAAATTCACGGGCAAAATGACAGCCAGAGAGATGAGGGTCACCAGAGACATGACGGCCATTAAGTGCTGTTGGAAGGACAAGTAGTGGACTGCATCGGGGCCGGTGTGCAGTAAGATTGTCTCCTTCCGCAGCTTAAACGTGACCCAAATCCAGCCAAAGAGACCCTCCTCGGGCTGCACCGGCGACAGTGGCGTGGAGTCGCCGCTGTTTTGAGAGTTGACGCTCGGTCTCGGTGTGGCCTGCGTGGATGTGCCTGGCTGGGGCTCCAAAATGCTGGTCGCTCGCGAATAGAATATCTCCGTCCAGCGCTTCTTGCTGCCATTGCTGTTGACCAGCGCTAGGCGGCCAAAGTCGCTCGCTTGATGCCGCAGCGTTGTGAACAGCAGAATGAGCAAAACCCAGAATATTGTGTTCAATATCAGAGTCTCCGGTATTCCATTGTAGGCGCTCGTGAAGAAAGAGGTGCGATTTGCCACTTGAGAGCAGTAGGGTAGGCTGTCCGCGTCCGACATTGTGATTCGCGCAATGACTGAGCTCACTGAAACACAAAGAAAGTCACAATTATTAAAGTTCTCTTTCCAGAAGCGATAAAACTCATTTCGTTTCGCGTCGTGTCGTGCAGGAATCTAAGCCCCAGAGCTGATAAGCATACACTTGTGGGGCAGCTGATCAACCAAACCATTCCACCTCATAATTGGCACTTTCCGCTGTCGATTCATCGTACTTTGGGAGGATTCTTTCTAACGTTGCGGCTGCACAGATTTATCTTTTGGGGTCAGTGTGTCAAAGTAGCCAAAGTCCACAGATGATGCTGTTCTTACAGTGTTTACAAAACGTTTTTCTTTGATTGATTGCAGCACTGTGGGTTTTCCCTTCCTTTCCAGAAACGGCAATAAAGATAAAGTATCTTTTTAGGATTATAAACGTATAAGCAAGAAAGCAAACGCTCGTTAAAGCCCAAGAAAGATGTTCTCGTGCATTTTGAATTTTTTAAATGAGATAATCATTTTTAAACATGTTTCTTGCTCGTGGGAAAGGGGCGGACGGGGGAATGAGATAACTAGGAGAGACCAATGTGATTGTGGTGGGGCTGTTTGGTTCGTCTACCACCTTCTCTTTTTTTTTGCGTTTTGTTTTGTTATTCTGCGGCAGCATGAATCATCGACATTTCATTTTCGCCTTGGGCGAGCCAGGCGTGTGGCACATGAGCAAATACGTTTTGAAATTTGAACACTGCACCAATCGCTGCTTTTTTCCTTATTAAATATATAATTATATTTAATAGTTAACAGCAGTTGGAGTGTTGCGTGTGTGTAAGTGCTGGTCGTGCTATCCACTTTCTTTGGCTTCTTTTTATGGCTTTCCCTTTGATTGCGAATATGGTTTATCTGCCACGCTGGCATTCACTTGAGTTCTTATGTTGCATACCTTGTCCACTAAAACCAATTCTTTGTTGTTGCTCACTTTATTTAATTATACATCAAAAACAGTTGCAGTCGTAAAATTGTATGAAGTGTTGTTGCGTTCTCGCTCTTAGAGATGAGCATTCGTTCAATCGGTACCATCGAAAGCACGATCTTGTTAGCTATCGAAACAAATATTTAATATTGTTATTAATTCATTTTTATTTGGTTATTAAACGAAACAAGAAAATAACAGGGTAGGACGTACTTTAGGCTCTCTTAAAGTAGCATTTCACTGCATTAGACGGTTTATTTTAAAAAATCTCCAAGTTAAGGGGAACTATCGACGCTGCAACCCTATATTATTTGGAAAATGCCACCACCGAGTGTAATCGAAGCCCTTTTGTTGGTCAAATATTTCAAATTTTCAAAATACTTCAAGAAAACTTAATTATCTAAACGATAGACGACGGAGATTTCCCAGCAAGTTGACTGTTTGTTTTACTTCGCTCTTTTTCGTAAGTCAATCCTATAACAAAACATTATTTCTAGTTGGTTTACATCGTTCTTATCGTTCATCACACAAACAGTTTTCCACAACTTTGACATTGCGTTTGGTAAAAATCAACTTCATCGGAAGGCGTGCATTAATTCACGAGAATGCCGTCCATACCACCAAAATCGATGCCGTCGTTGTCGACGTTGCTGAGCAAGAGTCCGCGGGCGGAGCTAACATTCCAAATAAAGCTGCTGTCTGGAAAGACGGTGGTGCTGGTGGACTGCCCGGGCTATGAAAGTGAGCTGTTCATGCCGCAGATTGTCAAAGGTAGGATAACGATGCAAAACATCATGCTGAATCGTCGGTGCTGCAGTGAGTCCAGCCTGACCACATACCCGTTAGTACTAAGAGGCGGTGCGGGCTGTGTGGTTCAACCTGTAAGCAGTTCTCCGTTGAGAACATCGCAGAGGGGGAACTCGTCTACACCTCTGGCGAGAAGCACTCCAACAGCACTTTCCATTCGTCGAATCAGCGGTGGACACAAGGCCATGGAACTGACACCAGAGCAAGCGCGTTTCCAAGCAATTCCATTTGAAGCCGAGATTCAAGACTTTTCCCCTCATCTGGGCATGTCGCCTTCCAACTCTAGCTTGGAGTCACCGGCAGCGCTTCTGCCGCCTAGAATGTTGAGCAACACGGACTCGAGGAGTGTGTCTGGCACTTCCACTTCTAATGTGAACCAAATTCCACCCCTGGGAAGCCCTATGCGTAAGCCGCCGCCGGAGCGCACGTACACGCGCCGCAAGCCTAACGCGATCAGCAAATCCACGCCGACGCCAACCTGGTCACCGCTACAAAAGAAGAAACGCCTACCGGCAGCATCTGCGACAAAGGTACCAAATCCAGTCATGAAGCTAGAGGTGCGCAATTGGAAACTCATTGTGGATGCCAACAAGAGCATTCCAGCGTACAAAGTGAAGAGCGATATCAGCACGCCTGTTGTCAAGAAGCGAATCGTCCAAAAGCAGGTGACTGCTAAAACAAAAAGACAATTTGAGGCACTCAAGGGCACAGCCTTTGACCTGCTGACAACATCGGCCCAAGGGACAATGGCCAAAGAGTTGGGCAAACAGTTTCAGGATGCCTGCATGGACAAGCGTGCCACCACAGTGCCAAACTATGCGGCGCTGTCCGCTAGCTCTCCGCTGGAACTCGACCACGAGGTGAAGTGTTTGCTGGCGAAACGAAAACGCTTGGAGCATATATCCAGTAACAAGCCAAAGCCATGGATGAAGCTAACGTGATTTATTGCTGGTCGCCTCGCCGTTTTCAAAATTTGCTGTTCGCCCTTCCAGGCAAATGGGAAATGTCTTGGGGTGCAGCAGCGCATTAAGTGTCCCTTTTATAAATATACCTATTGAAAATGATGTATTCTATGTCTTACTTAGTCCAAATATAAATATGTACAAATCTATCTAAGACAATAAATTAGAATCAATATTTTGTACGATAAAACGTAATTGTAAGGCTTCTAAGAGCTGCGACAACGGAAGCAGGCTTTGAATCCCCGTTTAATGGCTCGTATATTGTGGACAACCTCTTCCTGTGAAATATATGTTCCATTATATAAATCGAACGATAAAATACAAACACTTACCTGCATCAGATTGAAGCACATGGCAATGACGGCCATTCCTAGTAAAAGATATACGGCACAGAGGATAAAGCTGACCTCAACTTTGTCCCTATCTGCGGTTATCTATCGGAAGAAATGCCTCAGTCATATATTGTTAATTTGTATTAATGGTGAACTTACCACCCGATCACCTGGCACCAGATCACCAAATCCAATACTGCTGAGCGAGATTAAGCAGAAGTAGCTGCCATCCAAGTAGTTCCAGTCCTCCCAGCGACCAAAGAGCAAGGCACCCCACAGAATATACCTGATGGAGAATTAGCGCTAGGTGTTGACAGGACCTGTAGATGGCAGTCTTTGCAGAAGCTCTTACCCGACCATGACGAATATGCAGACTGTCAGAGGGACAGTAATCTCGTCCGTGCTGCCGCGTATCTCTCGCTCGATATCCGAATCGGATCCGCTGTACGCAAAATCCACGATGCTGGAGCTGGGATGAGAGCTCTTCGTGTAGTCGGTGCTGCTGCTGCTACTATTGCTGTTGGTGGTAGAACTGCTGCTGGAGTAGCTACTGCTCCCGCCGCCACCTTCCATGTGATGCATTTGGAGCTGAAATGAGTGAAATGTAAGTCTCACCCATCACATGGTACGAGCCATGGTACTCACCGCCCTCGCAAGGTGGCGCATCTTTCGTCTTTCCCGTATGATCCGGCGCTTGGCCACGCCAGGACATATACGGCACAGGCAGACCTTGGAGTAGATCCACTTGAAGGACTTGGCCAGCACATCGCCAATGTTTGAGAGGTAGAGCAGAAACAAGGGCATACCGATGATGGCATACAGAATGGTCGCCAGCTTACCCCACTCGGAGTGCGGTGTTATATTGCCATATCCGATCGTTGTGATGACTGTCAGCGAGTAGAGGAAGGCCCCGGAGAAGCTCCATTGCTCCACATCGGGCCCCTTCAGCTGTTTTTTCACAATCGCCCGCTGGTACTCCAGCAGCACATCATTGACACTGAAAGCATTAAAATGGGAATTTGAGCTATTTGGAATTTGGAATTATTTTAGTTGTTGGCGGCCATTTCTTACCGTTTTCTGTACGCCTGGTGGTCGAAGAAACTAATGTTCTCGGCCGTCAGCTCCCAAATGCGCGTGAGGCACTCCCCGCTGACATTTCGCTCGATGAACCGATGCGGCTTCTGCGCCTTGAGTCGCTCGTATTCGAAAATTTCGATGGCCTGGAAGATGAAGGCGCCCCCAATCGTGTAAAAGGTGACTAGCAGTATGATGCCCACATTGCTGAACATAAAGGCCGTGAAGTGGCGGCAGTGATCCTTGAACCTTTGAAATGCTGGCTTCTCCTTCCGGCGGAACGAGCTCCGCCGTGAGGACATGTCTGGCCCCGGTCAGCTGCGGTCCGCTTAGCAGCTCGTTTCCGTTTCGATTTCGCTGGGCGTTCCACTGGCGTTTCCTTGGACATGCTTCGAGCCGAGTGTCTTGCGCCTTCCACCCATCGGCACTGGGCGTTTGGCAGTGTAGCTGCAAAAGGTAAGATATCAGAGAGCATTAGTGACGATCCAGGATTTCCTGCACACCTACCGCTAAATATATCCGTGATTACTCGCAGTTTAGACCAAACACACAAAGTGGTAAATAAACAAAACGCTTGGGCTATATTATCAAAGTGCTTAACAGCCATAAATCTTTGCGAGCAATGACGGACGGACTCAGAACGTACGAATGAGTATTCGTATTCGTATTCGTATTTATGTGCTGTGCCCATATGAACGAGTATGTTGCCTTGCCAGTACGAGTAGGTGTTTTATTTTTATAGTCTAGTCTGGGATTATCGTGCAATATACGATCTTTAACACATACATATGAATGTACTCGTAAACATCTTGATACATTGTTTTTAGAGCTGTCCGAATAGAGTTTGGATACAATTTGCTGCACACTCGTAGTTTACGAGTAGACGTTGCTCAATCTATCGTATTAGGGGTTCCATTCCGATTTGCGGAGGGGCATTTTTGTGTAACCCAGAAAAGGCTAGGTTGACCTGCGGATTGTAAGGTAACCAAACCAATAGATTGTATTTATACCAGAGTGCGGTGTGGATCATTATCATAGCAATATCATAGTACAAGTTACATTAATCATTCCCTCAAGCGAATGACTTGCTCGAGATTTGAGGTACCATTAAAAAAAATAAATAAATCGGTAAAAGTTCTACATAAAAAAGTTTCCTGGAAGATTAACAATCAAATAATATTCTAAGAAATAACAATTCGTTAAGAGATGCTCAGGTGTAGGGCATCTTAAAGTCGAAAGGATGCCTACGGAGTTCTTCCCGATCTATCTGTATACTGAGTTCGTATGATTTTTAATAAATGGGCAACATGAACATGAATTATTGGACTACAATCTTGGCAGCTGGGCTATGGAACAGTCACATCATCTCATCCCCACGGATCGATCTACTGCTTGTGTGTGGTATTTCAATTTTCTCGCGTGGACGGAGGATGACATCCGTCTACATTCAAGAATTAATGGCGTAGCGAGATGGCGTCAAATTGGAGAGTTTCTAACGATGCGACGCGATGCGATTCGCTGTCTGTGTCTGTGGCAGCGGTTGCCAAACGCCAAAACGCCAAAACGCCTTTTCTTGCTGTTGCTGCTTCTGCTTTTTCATTTCGTTTTCTAAGGTTTAATTTAGTGGGTGTGAAATACGAGTTCATTTGAGATTATTTTTATAAACTTCTGCTTTGCCCCAGCCGCCAAACCACAGTCATTTGTCTAATTTGTGGCCAGAGAAACACTTTTATTGAGGCCCAAAGTTTCTGGAACTGGCCTTGGGCATACATATTTTATGGATTCGCCAAGAACTTCCACTACGCGTGCTATGCGGGGACAGCGGCAATTACAGGGCCAGGTGAGGCAGCGCACATACAACATAAATTAAAATCAATTTGCAATCGATGTTTTCATTATTTACAGCAAAAAAATATTGTGTTCATACTCGTAATTAAAAGAGATTCTGAATCCAAACACAAGCTAAAAACTGGGCAAATACTAGTGGGTTGGGTAGAGTAGGGGCGGGGGAACAGCTAACAAAAATACACAAGACTTGGACACGAAAAGAAAAACACATTAGGGGCGGAACTGAACTAAAAAGCTGCCCCCTGCCAAATGGAATAGCTTCGAGTGTGTTCTTGGTATTCGTACAATAATTAAGAACATCCCAGCGTAGGTGCTGCTGAATTAGGATCATCGAAAGCCTATCATTGCAGAGTGCGGCGGAGTGCAGTCCGGCCCGGTTTTTGTTGTCAACAATTAAATGGCAGTCTTGACGAGTTTCTCCCCCGAGATATTTTTGGATGGCTAAGCGCAATGCGCGTTCGCTGTCTGGGGTCCGGCAGCCCGTAAAGTCCGATTCTATTGCACAAAATATCTGTTTTGCATTGCGTAAATATTTTAATTATAATTGCTCTCTGAAAAGACTTCCAAGGCATTTATGCTGCTAACCTAAATAATCCAAAGATTAGCCCCACAAAAAAAGATCAAAGATGATGATGGCGGAAACTGCTCCCTAATTAACGTACTGTAGTTCAGGTTTGGCATGCCTTTTATCTGATATTCTTTGCCCATGGGTCATGGGTATCTTCGACTGGTGGGGGAAAAAGCCAAACGATATATAGAGCCACATGCTATATCTAGTGAGTTGTAGTCGATTAAGCCGATACTCCGAACAGCATTCTCCATTATTTATTTCTGGGAAGTGGCTGTTTCAACTTTTTTGGCCTTCTAGTTAAGAACTAAAATGCGTCATGGATTCTGGGATGGTTTGTGCGGAAAATTACGAAAACGATTAGAAAAGCACTCATGGAAACATATTTTTTGTGTAGCTAAGGACTACCGCTGGGCAGAATTTTCCTATGATATAGTTGCCTCTCCGTAGAGTTCGCGTCTTCTGTTACGTTCCATCTGTCAATCATCTGTATGTGCCCCAGTGGGGCTCATTAGGCACAGGCTGAGTCACAATGCAGATCCTTCAGCCGGCAGACTTGCACAATTAATTTTCAGCATTTAATTTGCCATGCCAAGAAGAAAATTAGAAACGAAAAAAGCTGCTTAAATATGACAGACAGGCACAGAATGTTAAGTGTCAGCGGCTACACAAGAAGAGATTTTCAAATTTAATTATACTACCGGACGAAAAAGAACAAAATGACACACTAATATCGCAATACTTACAAAAAAAAAACACACACACAAAAAAAATTACAAAAATAAGAAACAACGACGACATCTACATCCACGCATATTGATGGCAAGAATACTTTGGCCAAGCCACCAAATGACATGACAGTACACGGACGGGACACCATGTGAGCCAAAAACTAATTTCCGTTCATTGACCGTACACTGCGTGTATTGAATGCGTATCGAGTTGCGTGTGCCACCCTCTGCACTATTTCACCCTGCCAGCTGACAGCTGATCTCAGCCTCCTGTGCCGGGCGGGAGACCGTTTCTATTCCATTGCTATTTATGCAAGTTACAAACCTGTTTATTATGACAATTGCCAGAGTCGTTTTGTTTTGGCCGTCACTGACTGCCGCTGCGCTGCACTGCGTTCTTCCTTGCCAGATGCTCACCTCGTGCACTCGTGGCCGTGACGTCATGAATGAGAAAGCACCGCTATCTCAATGCTGCTCTGCTCCGCTTCGCTCCGATCAGATGTATTTTCGAACTGTACATGTAGAACGACGATATTTATGTTTGTGCACGCCGCCTCTGCCTCTGCTTCTGCTTCTGCTTCTGTATATTATTTTATCAGTGTTATTCAACGCACCGAATGATGCCTTCAGATTTGGATTTGGGATTGGAATTCTATTCTATTGGAAATTATTTAATGCTGTTGCTGCACAACAAACAACAAATAACAGCGGTCTTGTATTTGTTTCGTAATTTGGTGTATTTTTAAACGCACATTACTTGATTTCTTTTCACTTCAATTCACTTTCGTGTGCTGCCGCTGCGTTGCGTAGCCCTACCGCTGCCAAACCGATTCGACCGATCCCCGAGCAAGTGCCTCATTCGCAATCCGCGTGCGCTCTCCTCGACGCTCCGTGGCCCACTGTGGCACACTGGCTGTATTTATAGACAACATACACAAAGCGCTAATCTTGACGCATTACCTGTGACGTCGCGTCGCGTCTCGTCTCATTGTTGGCCGTGTGCGCCCATCTCTGTGGAGGAGATTAATGCCGTCGAGTGCCAGAGAGACAGAGAGAGAGAGAGAGAGAGCAGAGCGTATTCCACGCTACTTTTTGGCTATACTCTAGGGGTTCTGTTACCGATATACGCATACCCTACCGTAAGCTATTATTTGATCTTCGATTTGAGGCCTTTCTCCAGCAAGGGCGCCACATCCTTGGGGTCGCGGTTCCTGGTCTCTGGCAAGTAACGGAAGGTCAGGAGGAAACCATAGACGCATATCAGAGAGCAGGGTATGAAGGAAAACGGTCCAATGGCTTCCTGCAGAAGGGGGAAAACCATGCCAAGCAGAAAGTTGGATGACCAATTGGTCAGGCTGCCCAGGGCCATAGCAGCGGGACGTGGCGACGACTCGAGGAGCTCTATTTATGGGTCACATAGCATATGTAAAGCCCAGAAATTTTGCTTACTCACCTGAACCAATGAAGAAGGGCATGGGCCCTAGAGCAAAGTTGAAGGCAACAATGTACAGCGACAGGAAGAGGATGCAGCCGTAGGAAACCTCCTGGTAGGATTTCTAAGGGATAAGTACGAGCATGTAAAAGTTTACGAGTATTCAACAGAATTGCTACCATTAGCTCCAGTCCGACACTGAGCAAAACCAGGAAAATGGATGAAAATAGGCATCATCATGATCCGCCTGTTGAAGCTGGCCATCATCCAAGGTCCGAAGAGGGCAACGAAAAAGTTAAGCACACCCTCGGCAAAGTTCAGCCACGAGGCAACGTTCAAGGTGAAACCAGCATCTGTAAAAATGGACACGGAATAGTACCAAATCTGGGAAGATTTGGAAAGATTATGATGGAAAGGCGAAAGATCTATGCACCACTGCCAACCGCATTTATTCCGCTCATTTGCTGTACCAAATGGAAGGAGCACACAATGATCAGGGGCATCGCCAGCTTGCTATTGCAGATCACGGCTGTCATGCTGCTCTTCTCCACTGCGACGGCCGAGGCAGCCTCGATCTCCGCCAGCTCCGTGTCTGCGCGCTGCTCGCTCTTGCGCAGACGCACCAGAATCGAGCGGCTCTTCTCCGTGTTCCCCTTGGACATCATGTAGCTGGGGCTCTCGGGAAACCAGAGGAGCGGCGTCAGGCCAATGACCACGAGTATCACATAGCCAGCCAGGGCACAGTGCCAGTGTTTCCTGGTGCCCAACAGGAAATCGAAGGAACATAGCTGCCCCACCACAACCCCGCCGGTGATGCCGATGCAAGTGAAGACGCCAACGCTGCCGCTCAGCTCCGCCGGTGCCAGCTCCACCAGATACATGGGCTGAGTGGTGTAGACCAGGGCCGCTGCCATACCGCCTATTAGACGCCCCAGCAGCAACATTTCCACGGAGTTGGAACAACGCGGCAACAGAGAGTAGAGCTCCACTGACCAGTAGACTTCCCCTACGTCCCAGCTTCGTGTTGCAGCAGGGCGCAAAAAGAGATCCGACAATGCCACCGACCTGGAACATGGACACCACGCAGGCCATTAGAGTCGTAAGCTGCGTGTCGCCCAAGACGGTCGTGTATCTGGACTGCGCTGACTCGAAGATCCAAAGTCTGATGAACTACGAGGCGGGGCTAATGAGGTTTGAGCTCTCCTTTGGTACAGCTACACACACCTTGGTTGGGGCGTTGATCACGCCGAACGAGTATCCGATGGGAATGACGGACCCAAGGGTGATGCAAATGCAAATTAGCAGCAGGAACGCTGTCCAGCCTTGCTTCTCCTCGGCCATTGTGGTGAGTTTTTTTCATAGATTTCTGGCAGATAAAACTTTGGTCAAGGGATCGACTGATTTATATTAGATGGATATACAGATTACAATATTTTATAGATTACTATTTGTGTATGGGGATAGTCTTAGTCCAGTTTGGAGCGCAGTCCGTGGCTCATCAGTGGCTTGACATCTTTGGGTTCGCGTCCACGCGTCTCTGGCAGATAGCGCCATGTGAGCAGCAGGCAGTAGATGCAAACGCACATGCATGGCATGAAGGCGAACGAGCTCCAGACGCCCTGGAGCAGGGGGAAGCACATGCCCACCAGGAAGTTTCCAATCCACGAGAAGAGGCTGCCCATCGACATGGCCACGGAGCGGGGCGAGTCCTCGAGTAGCTCTGTGAAAGACACCATCAAGCATTGACGACTGCTCATGCCAAAACGAGAGCTAAGCAAATACAAACCAGAGCCAATGAAGTAGGCTATGGGACCGAGGCCAATCTGGAAGCCCAGGATGAAGCTGAGGATGAAGGCAGCGCAGAAATAGGTCAGCAACGTGCTCTCCGAGCTCTCCAGGAAGTACAAACCAATGGACATGGCCAAAAGCGATAGGGCGCAAACGGCGCAGGACAACATCATCAGCGGACGACGCGGAAACTTTTGTATCAGAAGCGGGCCCAGCAGGGAGGTGCACAGATTGAAGCCGCCAATGCCCAGATTCAGCCAGGTGGCTGCTCCAGGGGAGAAGCCCGCCTCCGTCAGAATGGACAGCGAGTAGAAGAAGATCTGAAAAGCGGAGACCATCAATTTCCAGACAGTTTAAGGCGCAGCCTGACCTACAGCATTGATGCCACTCAGCTGTTGTGTGGCCTGGAAGGAGCAGACTAAGAGCAGTGGCAGAAACAGCTCTCTGTCGCCCAGAACCTGGCACAGGGAGCTATCCTTGCTGCTGGCCTGGGCCTCCAACGTGTTCCTCATCTCAAGCAGTTCCCGCTGAACTTCCTCCTCTGCCCCATGCCCTCGGATACGACGCAAAGCCAGCTCACTGGCGGCCGAGTCGCGCTTGTAGAGGTAGAGCCAGCGAGGACTCTCCGGAAACCACCACATGGGCAGCAGCGAGGCGACTACCAGCAGGGTGTAGAAGCTCAGGGCGTAGGGCCACAGATCCTCGTTGCCAAGCAGCTCGGACAGGGTCATCACCTGAGCGAGCAGAATGCCACCCGTCACCCCGATGCAGGTGAAGACACCCACACTGCCGCTCAGCTCCGAGGGAGCCAGCTCCAGCAGATACATGGGCTGGGCGGTGAATATCAGGGCAGAGGCAATCCCGCCAAAGAAGCGTCCAACCATCAGCATCTCCAGCGACTTGGCAACCCGACACCAAGTGAAGAGCATGCCGCAAACCACAAGCACAGCACCGCTAATCATGAGGCAGCCCTTTCTGAAAGAGGAAGGCAGACAATAATTCCAGGAGTTGACTCTCCGATGTTTTTGCCCACTCACCGGCCGTACTTGTCGCTACACAGAGCGCTGAAACATGAGCCGCAAATGCCCCCAATCAGATAGATGGAGACGATGCTTGTCCACAGTATATCCAGCTGACTGGGGCTCACAATGGTGTCGTACTCGCTGGCCAGGATATCCTCACACCAGCGCTTGATGAGCTCGGCCGGTGCATTGAGAACGCCGAAGAAGTATCCAACCGGAATGGTGGTGCCCATCGTAACGCTAACGCAGATGAGCAGCAGAAACGTGTTCCAGCCGCGGCCGCCGGCAGGAGTAACGTTCTGCAAACAAATCAAAGTAATTCAAATTATTATCGAGAGCCAAACGAAAGACTTAAGCCACAAACTCGTTCCGGATGTGCGAGAAAGTGGCTGTCAAATCAGCAATTCACCATAACAAAGACCATAATGAGCCACAATCAAAGAGCAACCAAATCCGCGATGCTGCTACGTTGAGAGCCAAAACTATAGTGTGCCAGGTCTGGCTGGGACTTGCTGCCGAGCTCTGACACCTGCGTGAGTCATCCATCTCTGCCTCGTCAATTGCATACAGAGAAGGTTTGGAAACACCGCGGCTGCTCTTCCTACTACGGTTGGTTACAGCACCTACAGAACCCGCGCCATAGATAAATTTCTCGTGTATTGTTTGACTTGTTTCCTTATCACTGACACGGTCGCTTCTATTTGCACATCAAATGCATATCCGAGCGCTTTCATACACTACGATAAAGACTGCTTCTATGCTCACGAGTTTCATAGATTTTATTTATCTATTATAAGGTTGGGCCTCCACATAACGCTCAATAAACTCTCAGGCATTTAGCAGTTGCCTAAAGTGAACCAGCTCGACGGAAGAGTATCCACAGTTGGCTCGCGCTGGCTCGCTCTTGTGGCGCATTTCTTACATCAATAAATCTAATTAACAGAGTATTAGTCGGAGCGCTTAATTGAACTTGTGTGGCAGGCGATAAGAGACGGGACGTTCCGTATGCACTGTTTGGTCTTAAAGTTAGTTCCTCAATCACTTTTTTGTTTTTATTTTGTTTGTATAGAAAACTTATGACGTAGACAAGATAAAAAATTGGTTTGGCTTGTTAGCTTATTGTCTATGAAGGCATTAGGCACGGCCCCGCGCATCTTTGCAATTGTACATTTAACAGACCTATCATTAGCTAATTATATCTAAGTGTAAGACGTGCGTGTGCGACGAGTATCATTTGACCTTGGACCGGAAACCATTGGAGACAAGAGGTGCCACCTCTGAGGGATCGCGGCCTCGCGTTTCCGGCAGATAGAATTTCGTTAGCAAACAGAGCAGCACACATGTAATGGAGAACGGCAGGAAGACGAAGGCTCCCCAGGCATTCTGCAGACTGGGGAAGGATATGCCAATTATAAAATTGCAGGTCCATGACGCCAGGCTGCCCATCGACATGGCAACGGAGCGAGGGGCCACCTCGAACAGTTCTGCAAATTGAAAAGCATAATTCGAATCAGTTAGCAGTCCAATAATTGAGCCAGCGACAACGACAGAGTGTCTGGAATAGCCTATATAGTCATAATCAAAGTGGTCCAATGAACCTCGTTCAATTAAATTATAGACAGAGTGCTCGGAAATTGGAGCAACTGGCGGCATCACGAGACTCGACTTCGACTGCGACGCTTGTGGCAGCTGGCGTCGTCACGCGACTGATGGCTCGGCCTCAAATTACCTGATCCAATGAAGTACGGAATGGGGCCCAGGCCGAACTGGTAAAAGAAAATGTATCCCATGATGCAGAAAATGCAGGCAATGGCAAACCAGCTGACAAAGTCCTACAATTCATACAAAACAAGAATCAACAAACGTAATCAAACGCAAAAACACATCACACTCACAATATAGTACAAGACGAAGGCGATTGTGAAGAGAAAGACGGAGCACATGGCGCAGGAGAACATCATCAGGGTGCGTCTGTTGTAGTAGGCCATAAGCCAGGGTCCCAGCAACGAGACGGCCAGATTCAGGCATCCAGCACCCAAATTGGCCCACTGAGCATTCACTGTTGAGAGGCCGGCCTTCTCAAAGATGGACACCGAGTAGTAGAATATCTGCAAAAGGCTCAGATCAATGAATTTCCCATACATTTGTATGCATTAAAAATATCACTACTCACTGCATTGATGCCAGACAGCTGCTGGCCGCCGTGGAAGCAGCAGACAATGACAAGCGGTAGCAGCAGGCGGGAATCGCGGAGCACATCGCAGAAGCTGCTTGTCTGCACCTTGGCATTAGCCTCCGCTTCCATTTCGGCCAGCTCCTGGGCGATGAGCTCCTCGGCGCCCTCGCCTCGCAGCCGCTGCAGCTCGCGCTTGGCCGCCGCACGATTGCCTTTGACTATGTACAGGAACTTGGGGCTCTCGGGGAAGAGATATGAGGGCAGGTAGCACACAATGATAAGGCCCATGTAAGCGGTTAACGCATAGTGCCAGAGATCAGCGGTGCCAAAGACATCGGCCAGACTGCACACCTGGCCCACGACCACGCCTCCCGTCACACCCACGGCACAGAACACGCCCAGTGTGCCGCGCAGCGCCAGCGGAGCCACCTCGGACAGATACATGGGCAGGGTGGCGGTTACAAGGCCCGATGCGAGACCCACAATAAAGCGTCCAATCAGCAGCATTTCCACAGAGTTGGCGGCTCTGCAGAAAAAGAAGAGCACGGCTCCGACTGAGAAGAGCGCCCCGCAAATGAGATAACATGCTTTTCTGTAAAGGAAGAGAGAGGGATTGAAATTGTAGCAGTACTTATTAACAGTTTCCGTTTTGCATTTGCTCTGAATTAATGACCTACTGAATATTTTTAGCTCGTATGCCAATTCGTTTTGCAGATTAGAAGGCATTAAAAATTCTAGAAAAGCGATAGCTGAAACTGGCTTTAGCCGCGGCTTATCTGACTGATTAATGCCCGTAATCACATACCTGCCGAATTTATTGGCCGCACCAGCCCCGCCCAGCGAGCCGATGGCGCCACCAACCAGGAAAACAGAAACAATGCTCGACCAGAGCAAATCCAATCCGGTTTCGCTCAGGTTGCTGCCATAGTTGTCATGCAGCGTTTGATTACACCAAATTTTCATCAGCTGTAAAGATAGTAGAGTTAGTTGTGCTTCCCCTTGACAGATACATGAATTGGGTCGGTACTCACCTTGGAGGGAGCATTGATAACGCCTATGCAGTAGCCCGTTGACACCGCTCCACCAAAGGTGGTGGCAAAGGCCACCAGCAACAGCAGCTTGCTCCATCCCGGTTTCTGCAATTAAAAACCGAATTGTTAAATATTTACGAAAAACATTTAAGTGCGCATAGACTGAACTGTGACAGTGTTTAGTACTGTGTCGCGGTCCGGTGCGTCATTGTTGTTGGGGTCATAACTTACTGATTTATTCCCGGAATAGAATGCTTTAATCTGAATAATTGTCGCTAATTATGGCTAATACTGACCCAGGGTCAAAGCTTTCCATTTCTCTTTAAGCGCATTGTGATTAGTACAAAGCGGATTGGGTTGAAGCGGTCTCTCTTTATAAACTGATAAGCAATGCCTGAAAATTCAGCTGATAAAGCGAACGAAAAGATCGCAAATTTGCCCCAAAATATTTGACTATACGAAAGTACAGTATAAGTATGTTACATATGTATAAGTTCCTATGTACCCTGGTCAATGTCACTACGGGCTATACCGTATATCAGCTGATACTAGTAAATACATATTGTACTTTACATACATACATACATAAATACATATGTATGTGTAAGCGTCGTGTGTGTTTATCTATTTTAAGAATTTGAAAACAAATGTACATGTGGGTATAAAAGTATCAACAAGTAAAATCTAAGAGAGAAGAAGAGATAAAATAACAGCATCCAACAACATCCAACATCCACTATCCATGTGTTTCTTTTGTTGGATGCAACAAAGAAAGAAAGTGCACAGTGCAATAGCAGGAAATCGAACAGTTTACAGTTAGAGAGGTACACAGAAGAGATCTTGCAAAGAGGGCAGGAGAGTAGAGTGTTTTGCTCAGTTAAAGAACCGTTTACTCTCTCACCTGATTTGTTTCCGTCTGCGGCGACAGCAGTTCCACTCGTGTGGGCTGGGGGTATAACTGTTGTGATTCGGCGGGGTAACTTTTGTTTGCCATATTCATGAGCGGTACATGAACGTTGGTTGTTAGGAACACTTTATAAGGCACTCGAAGTACACGCGACCATTAACAATATGCGGCGAACGATTGTTAACAAAGTTGTTGTTGTATCGTGGCAAAGGGTTTGCAGTGTTGTGTAACACTATGGTGCTTATACAGGTGAGAAGGTGTCGTGGTTGAATGCAAATTCATACATTCCTCTACCAACAATATTATTCAACAATTTAGAATAATTGTTTTTATTCCACGATGGATCAAAAGCGCACCCCGGTGTGAACAGCGAGGCCTGGAGAAACCTGACTGCGCGATAAAAAATGTGCCGGCAACCTTATCAACTCTCTCTGTAAATGTTTAGCTCCAAGGTACAACACACCAGGTAGGGTGTTTGCACACGCTCTATGGCAGGGTTTTATTTGTAATCTACTAATTAATGGTAGTGGTAATGTAATTTGTACCATTTGGGTAATATCACGTATTTTATGTTTTGTCTTAACAATTCAATATGTTTAGGTGAGACAGCGAAAGACCGCACCTTCTGTAGGTAATGTGTCTTGCTGCCGCTTGCCCAATTCGAATTGGTAAGTTATACAGCACTTTTTTTCTCTGGCTGTTTGTGAAATTATTTTTAAAATAAATTCTTAAGGTATTTTTTAAACAAGTAAAAATGGCACTGTGTCTAAGTTGGTGGGGAAAAGTTTGCTGTTCCCAGGGTTTGGGATAACATAATCACCGTACCGCTTCATCCCGTGTACCTTTTCATCTCTGGCAATTTAAAACCGTTTACGCGCCCTTACAGATATGTACAAATTTGCCGAAAGCAGAGCATAATTTTGGTCTACCTAATTGGATCGACGGTTCACTGTCAGCATACGTGCCCCCATCCAGCAATTTACAATTTTTTCTTGCCGTATTGATTGCATTCATCCAGCGACTGCATGTCTGCTTGGATGAGTGAGCGAAGCCAAATGATACAAATGATTTCAGGTATGAAAGCACGTTCATGGCTCACTTGATTACTCAAAAAAATATCACTTCATTTTAGCTGTATTTATCGCGTGTGTACGCTTAACTACTGAGACTGCCGCTGATAGACAAATCCTTATTGGCCAGGATGCAGCAACTGATTCGCGGAATTTTAATAATTGACCCGCCCAGGTGCCTAAAGTCTCACGTTCGGCCTGACTATATCTAATAGAGACATTACAAATATTTACGTAATTTTAGTTATCAAAGTTATTCTGGTTTTCCCCATGTTCCTGATGCAGCCACGAGCAAGTGGTGCAAAGCCAGATTGCAATTTCAGGAACCAAGTGAATGTCTTACATCGTTGATTGCAGCCATTCAAGGACATACAAATATCCAATAAAATTGTATGAGACACCACCCAAGCTGCTTAATTATTTAGAATATAATTAATACCAAGACATTGGGGAGTAGAAAGGGTAGCTTAATACTTAAATTTTTCTTGTAAAAATTAATAATTTATCAGATTAAGTTTCTCTAAAGTGGGTACTTACATCATTGTTATTTTTTGTGGCTCCCATCGGAATGGAATATTTACTGTACGTAATTGTCCTTGCTTAAACAATAAAACTCTGAAATATTTACGTAGCAAGTTATGAAGTATGCACAGTAGATCGCGTTATAATTGAATGACTGGATCGTTGGTGGATTTTAGATTGCTACAGAAAAAAAAAACAACACACAATCCGCGAGTTCGGTAACGGCGCGGCGTGGCGCTTTGGTTCTGGCCTGATTGCGAGCGGATTGGCAACTGTGGGAATAATTAAGCCCAATGCACTTGCCTCTGCTGCGGTCAACGATATCGACGAGCTGATAGCAGGGTCATAAACTGCCAAATTAAACGAGCGTGTTTTGTGGCCCTGATTTAATGAAGCAGCTTGGTCGGCTGGGCCTGGCTGTTTTCCACCCGTATTCCCTCAGTATTCAGCTATTCATCGATCTCTGCTCCACAGAAATTATCTGTTTAATTCAATAACATTGGAATGCGCTGTTGGAATACTCATAACACCGCTTTATCTTTATCGCTTCGACCTATGAATTGAACAGAATCTTTTCATACTATACCTGAGAATCGATAAGATGTGTGTGAGGGTAGTGTGTGGGGTTGGCTTCTTAATTTCCTGGTCGAATGGTGTTGATGTTCGACACCAGCTGAATTGTGCCTGAAGCACTCGGTTCTGTAAGAGCCGTAAGGCGTATATCTTAAGATAAGTAGAGATGTCTCTAATTGTATAAATCTTTGCATTAGTTATGATACATTTTGTATTTACCTTTTCCTATTCATTTTTGGCGCTAAGAAGTAGTGGTCTAGTGTGACCGCGGATTTAGTGAGAAAGTATACCGCCTCACCCTAAGAAATATACTTTAACATACGAACAAAATGTATGAAATATTCTGCGCACAACAGCACCCTCTATTATCCTGTCTTCTGCTACGACTGTAAATTTAGCATTGGTCTGTTAACCACATTTCGTATAAATGTATTCGTTAAATTTGTTATAGTTAAACAAGGAGAGTTAATACAATGCTAATGACATTCTTGGCTTACAGAATGTATTTGTCTTATTTAAATATATTTGTAATGGTAAGTCCTGTATCCTTTCTGGGATTTTTAAATATTCATATATTCGAATAAAACCAAACAAAAACTCCCGTTCTTTGAAAGACACTTCTATGAGCTGTGGTAGTAAGGGTTGACATGTCGAATCGATGTTAATATGGAACTTCATTAGGAACAGCCAATCTCAGTTGATTGCTGCATCTACCTAACCTTCAGAGAGTACCAGAAACCCGATCCTAGACATGGATCCTAGACTTTTAATGTGATTCTCAAAAGCATCGATCCCAGGGTCACTGGCAAGTCGAGGTGGCGAAATCTCGCCTTAAAACAAATGATTATTGCCAGTTGATTGCTCTTAATTACTTTTTCTTGGCCTCCCACTCCGCTGGCAAATTGCACTTAAGTTCAAGTTAACCTGGTCGTAAATCTCGATGTGGCGACCTTTCAACCTCAATGGTGTGCGTTGAACTGGCTGAAAATTCGCCAATCCCCAAGGCACAGACAATGGCCCCGGCTGAAAAATAATAAAAATATAAAAACTGACAACTGTTGCGAAAAAAGCGAAGAAAAGCTGAAACTGATAAGTACAACAATAAGTCATTTCCATTTCCTTTGAACTGAACTTTATGGCGGGCCTCTCATCACGCCGTCGATTTAACATTTCAGTCGGTTCATTGTACTCCACCTGTCAGCGTTCTGCACTGAATCCAAATCCAAAGAGCTCCCACATTGTCCAGCTAAACTAAAAATTGCCATAAATTGTCCGAAAGCAGAAGAAGAACATTTCGCTGGCATCCTTAACAGCTGCCTGTTGAATGGTATGTGTATGGAATATTCAGGTGAATTCATTTATTATGCTGCCTGCACATTTCATCGGACAAGCTGCAAATGCGATTTCATTGTTCTTTCAGCCCTGTGTCCACTTGTTAGCCATGCTCTTTGATGCAATGTTGCAAGCAGCAGGAACTCACAGAAAGTCCAAACAACAAGAGCTCGAGAGTGAGTTACCTTGTTGCGCTCACTACTCACTACTCACTACTCACCGCTCGTATTCGCATTTTTCAAGTGACCCGACGCTGGACCAGCTGGACCAGCTGGACAGGCAGGACGCGCTCGACACAACTGACAGACTGACTTTGACATGGCATCATGCAGGACGGCAAACATAGTGCCGGAAAAGCAACCGGACTATAAATAAGATACGACTCCACACACACACACACACATTCTCTTCTCATACTCATATGTGTTGTTGTCTGAACGAGTGAATGAATGAATGTTTGGGGGGCGTGAGAGAGAGTGTTGTAAGTGCAAGAACTGTGTCACTTGTGCCTTTATTTGGTTGGCGGTGTCTACATATGGTACATTCATACACAGAGATGTATGTCCTTGCAAGGGGCAATATCCTTTCAGGCAGAGGTTTGGTCTAAATCAAATTGGATGCTTAGCAGCGAAAAATGTAAGTACTCGTCAAGGTGAAGGGATACTAATAGCACAGTTCCATCATGTGAAAGTATGTCCACTAAATGTAGGGTATTCAAAGCTTTGTTTACACGTAACTGTCTTTTCTTTTCCTTTCGTTTCGTTTCGTTTCCTTTCTTTTATTTACTTTTCTTTCCCACACAATAGAGCAAAGCGGTGGGGAGCGGAGACAGCGGAAAGCTGTTACTTCCAGCTTGTTATTATTTCTGGCTTTTGTTGCTAGCTTCATAAAAGTGCTACTCTACGTACGAGTGTACATACATATGTGTGAGTGTATATCCTGTTGCTTGTTCGACTTTTGCTTGAACATTTCCGCTTCCTTTCATTTAGCATTCAACACACATTTACTTTGAGTCATATTTGTTGAACACATTTCAGAAATATTTAAACACTTGAAAGCTTGTATTCAAGTCAATTTATTTGTAGCCTTGCTTTTAAACCTGGGTGAAGCTTCACCTTTTAACTTCCTGCGCTGGAGCATCTGCCGTTGACACCTGTCGCCTGGTCGTTCTGCAGTCTCCATGAACTACAACAATGCGCTTTTCTCCCTAAGGCTTTGTCAGATGCAGGGCTGGGCAGGGGTAAGGACATGTGTCCGCCCACATCCAACTGCAAAGTGCACCTTACAGTAGCATCAAGGGCCAGGAGCAACCTCAACTTTAACACTTTCTGTTGACCTTTTCCTGGCTGTGTAGTTCGCGAGGCCCCAGCCAGCGAAAGAGATGCCATGACGTTGTCGTTTGCCATGTGGAAAGTCATTTGATATAGTCACCTTGTACATCTAAAATTAATGAGAGTACCGAAAAAAACGCGTAGAAAATTGCTTTGCGCCCATGGGTGGTGGCGCGCGTGCAGCAACAGGTCGAAGAGCGTCGAGATAAACAAAGAACAGCAACAACAACAACAAAAAAGGGAAAAGAAAAAGGAAAGTCTCATAACAGGAAACAGCCTCAGGGACCGAGAGGCGGAAAGAAAAACATCTAAGAGGCCTTTGTAAAGTTTTTGGCTTCGAGGCAAACAGAAAGATGCACGAAAGAAAGGCTTAGGGCCCACTAAAAATTAACACAAGCATGAAAACACAGAGAAAGTAAACATAAAGCATGTAGAAATGGAATGGGAGAATAGATGTCTTCCCAGGCACGAATAATAATATTATCAGGTAAATCAAATTGCTTGCAAATAAATTGAATTGCGCAGCAAAAGCACAACCAAAAGCAAAAGCAACAACACAGAGACGACATTGCTCTGCGGCCTTCGGCTCTGACTGAGCGACGGGGGAGTAACTGAGATCGCCGCGATAAGAGTGCATGCGTTTGCGTCTCAAATCTTCGCTCCGAAAGCGGAGCCTTCTCTCTCGCCTTCTCTCTCCCCATCTAACTGTTAAAAACCAGAGCGAAAATGTGCGCAGTGTGTCCGAGAGATCACGAGAAGAGATAAGAGTGCCACGTCGTGGACATCTCAGAACTAAAAAGCGAAAGATGAGGGCAGGGCAAAGGCTCAGTGTTGGTGATGGAATGAGGTTGGTGCGCAGAGTAGGCAAATATGCCAATTTATGCCATATAACATCGAAGCGATGGTTCGAAAATCGTATTCTTGCGTTCGATCGATTTGCCAAGGCATTGCCCCGAAGCACAACGCTTTTTATGATTTTTAATATTTTTTATTAAATTTTGAGCAGCGGTCTTTGCCTTTCTTTGCAGTGGCAAAGGCCAAAGGTGAGTCTGAGGCCACGTGAGGAGTAGTTTCAGGCTGAGCACGGTGCAGGGTGGCAGGATGGGATGGGATGGGATGGGGTGGCTGCCGTGTCAATTCAATCAACTTGCCAGCCCCTCCACGTTCATCTTCATCTGGCTGCTACCGTCGATGGTTGTGTTGCTGTTGTTGTTGCTTGGTTACACAAAATGAGAATTTATTGTTGGTGCCTTATGCATGGCACACAATATCGGGTACCACTACATACGCAGAGTGCGTGTGTGTGTGTGAGCTACATAATAAAATTCCAATTTGCTCGACAAACGATGTCGCCGACACCCCGCTTTTCATATACAAAAAAAGTTGTAAGCATATTTTGCCTCTGCTCCAACCTCCGCCTCACATGCGTACATATATGTACACATGCGTAAATGCGTCAAATACAAATATATTTTCATTATTATGTAGAAATTGAACAACTTATGTGTTACCCAACTCCGCAATGCCTCGACAGGTTAGCTGACCCACTCCGGATGTTGGCCAGCAATCACGTGGATTTGTTTCGTATTGACAAAGAAGTTCCGAGGGATCACCATGTTCCCCCAGCGGGCTCAATTGTTTCGACTGAATACACCTGCACAAGCCTTGCATTCATATGGCCAACAAAAGAAATGCCTTGACAATGAT